AGCACAAGGTTTTTTTGATTGCAGACAAGAGAACGGTGCCTGTTAAAAAAACCCCAATGGATCAAACAAACAAAAAGACCCAATTAACAAATTAAACAGAAGTTCAGGAATAACCCAATGAGAAAATAAACCAGTTTTATTCAAATTATCAGGTGTTAATCACTCTTGGAATATAAGATTATAAACAGCTCTGATTCAGGAAGGTGCATTTCTTCATTTAACACATACTCATTTGAAGGATACAAAAGAAATGTTTGCTTATTTATCCAAGAGCTTAAAATGAAACAATGAGCAGATCCTTCTTTGCTTTTAAAAATTAAATTTAACTATTTCTTCAATAATAAAATATACTACCTATTATACAAAAAGGACATTAATTTTGTTCACAGTTGACAGAATACAGCTGCACAATCAAAATAATAAAGGTGAACTGCAATGACATTTTAATTATATTATTCCTATCATTATATATTATGAGGGTTAGAACAGCACACACAGGCACTAATCAGGTTCCTTTAGTTTCAAGAGCTGCACATACAGAGAAGAAATATATAGTTCTTACCCAAAAGGTTACAGTCTAATCTAAAATTATCCATTAACAGAGGATGTGCCTCAACTGAAAATCATGGGTATGTGAAGGGATTTCTCCTGCTTTTCTTTCATATCTGGTGGACACCCCCAGATACAAAATTACTTTTCACCGTCTACCACTATAAAATAACTGTTTACAAAGAAATAACTTTTTTTTTTTTTTTAAGCTTAAAAGGTCTGGGTTTAAAGGTCATTACTGCTTCCTTCTTAAGAGTTCCTCATTTTGCTTTTATCCCATAAGTTCAGGCAGTGACAATCCCAACAGCCATTTGGCAGTTCTGAGATTAAGGACATTTTGGAGAAGAAAATCCAGTCCTGGACTTGGGACTGGGTCAATACCTAAAAATGAGTGTCCTTCCAAATTAGATACTTTTTTTGCCTGTATAATGCCCCAAAGAGGAACTGTTCCCGGTCTTCATGTTAAGTGTTCACATCCCAGGTTTCGCTTTTAACTTCATTTCAGTTTTTAAGGAACTGTGTGTCAGCTTAGGGCCATTCAAGTACAGGCTGCTTTCATGCTGAACATCAGAAACTCCCCATATACCTCCTAGGACTTCCGTATCAGTTCCTGTTACCCTCTCACAATGGAAGGACAGTAGCACATATAGTGGGTTTCCCTTCCTCTCTCAACAACCTTCAGATCCTCCTCAAAGTAACCAGGATTGTGCCCCAAATGAGTCAGGATTTGGAAATGGAGTTTTAATTTAAAACAAAGGCATTTCCGGTAACCCCTAAATCTCAGTATGTAACTTGATTTGATCTTCAGGCTTTAGAAATGAAAACAGACAACAGAAATGAATCTACTGATTGCTGGGTCATGCATTTCCAGGCTACACAGAGCAGCACTCTGAAAATAAAAATGAAAACAAAAGAAAGAATAAAGGAGAAAAAAAAGGGGGATACCATCAGAGTTCTGAGGATTTGCACAGAGGAGGACCCATTCTCCAGAAGCCAAAACAAGGAGCTGTTGGGAATCTATTCACAGATTCTGAAAATACATTCACATGCACAAGCAGTCAGTTTTGCACTAGGAAAGAGGATTGAGTGGGGTTTGGGGTTTTTCACCTTAATTTCTTATGGTTAACAATGCCCAGTAATTTTCAGCACTAAACAATGCAATATACTCCTGGTTTATTTGAAACCCAAGGCTTAGACACAAAATGGCTTTGGAAATGAGAAGTGAGGCAGCGTGGCAGCTCAGCACACTTAAGGGAACATTTTTAAGCCATTTAGCAGGAGTTTATTGCTTCAGCACCGGAGTCTTTGGGCATTCAAGCACAACAGGGAGTGCATTGTTGTGCCAGAATTGCCCGCCTTGGGTGTGTGTGGTGCGCGGCAAGGGGCCAAAGGCTGTGTTTAAACGCACCCGCATGAGAAATGTGATTTAGGCAGAACAAAGTACACTCCTGTTGTGCCTCCCCGTGATTATAAAATAGATCTGTGTCATTATAAATAGAAAATGACTGGTGACAAAGATGGTGCTTTGACTCACTTCTGAGGCCAAGCTCTTACGCTGTGGTTCCCGATGTCAGACCTATTCAGTGGCTGGGCTGCAGGCAAATGTGTCTGGCTCGGGGTTAGCCAGTCCGCATCTCATGATGGCTTAATCTCATTTTATAACAGCAGGGGATTCACTGTGGTCCTTCACAAGCAACGCTATCCGTTCACCCAAGAATGGTCCCAGACGCCTTCTGAAATGCACTGTGCCCACTGCAAGACTCAGATTGCTAAATGGCAAATTACCCTGCGCTCCAAAGAGACTGCCAAGCTATCTGGATCTGTGAATTTGAGATCCTGTTCCTACACAACTAAATGCTGCAGCTCTTGTTTATTCCAGTGGAAACAAAATCGAACACACAGAAATAATAGTGCTGTTTCAAGAGTGTAAGTTTTCCTCTTTATGCCACCTTCCATCCTAAAATGATTCATAGCACATTATTGAATTAAATAATGCAGTTAAATAAAGTAAATATATATACATAGTTTCTATGTTGTACAATAAGTAATTAAAAAACCCAAAACATCAGAGATTAAACCCGAATCTTAAGTCCCTATTGCAGTATATGGAGTATTTTGTTGGTCTATTCCCAAGCATGCTCCTTAAACCAAACCGTAGTCTTCTTGCTAAAATTATTTAATCAGAATCACACTTCTACATATATTTTATACCACAGTTTATTCTCAAAGCTCAGGATAGCCTCTCATTTCCTTAAACCTCTTAAAAACTTCCTTAATGAAAAAGCAGAGAAATCTGCTGTTTGCAAGTTCTATTTGCTTATTGCTTACTTCCAAACTAAAGTAGTTAATTTAATGAAGGGGGGAGAAAAAGTGAGACAGAAAAAGATTAATGTGGTGCCCATAGCCATTTCCCAAATTCTTCAGAGTTTATAGACCTAGGGAGACGGGGAAAAAGCAACTTCTCAGCAGTGGAGCAGAATAGGCTGAAATGACCCTGTGAAACCAAAGCGATTCTGGGAATTAAAGGATGTTCACTCCTCTTATGTTTCTATGCTGCAAACTCCTTTTAGGGCTCCCAGTAGTACCCATTAGCAATAGCCAAGCTTTTCTGTTTTAATTTAATTTAATTTAATTTCCACCAACAAATTCCACCCTGTGGTGAGAATTGACAGTATCATGTTGAGAACCATTAAAACATATTTGGATTGTTTTTACTTCATGTATATATAAAAAAAATTCCCCCACCCTTCTCAGTATTTTTTAGACAAGCAACTTCATAATAAGAGTGGGGCAGACACAATGGAGGCATCGTTATACTGTGGGATACCACCTTAGAGAGCATGGTTGGAGATACAGCAGAACATGCTGTGGCATTACACTACAGCGTGGCCTGGTCCCAGCTCCATTCTGAACCTCCCTATGATAAACCAGAATGGAGCCTGGCAGCACTGGTGGTGTCCCACCAGGTACCACTGGAACATAGCTGGTGTCCTTTTTCTGTAAGAAGACCCTATATATCACTTCTGCTTCCTTTTCTCCTTGAGAGTTTTCTGTTCTCTAAGGAAATCTTCACACTTGAAACATCTTCATGCTTATGTAGCCTTGGGCTCTACTAGGAATCCCTACTGGGAATTCCCCCACTGGGAATTCTGCCACCAGATTTCAAAGGAAAGAGAATAATAATGCTCTCCATTAATATAGGCTTTTCTGTCATGACTTTTAGGCCCCTCTCCAGGCAAGCAGGCAGGCACATGTTTAACATTAAACACAAGAGTAGTCTCCATTCACATGCTGCAAGCTAGAAATGCTCATTAGCGTTGGATCATGGCCCCAGCTGAGCTGCTAACAGACTTCAACTAGAGAGCTGGGCTGGAGGAAAGGTGGCACTGAAACCTTTCACCATGGCTGCACCATCACTGGCTGAGAGGCTTCAGCATTTCCTACCTAAGCACTGCTACTCCAATGGCCGATAGGTCATCCACTTGGCAGCAGAGGCACAAACTGTTGAGCTGCCACATTGTCATCATTCAGAGCTGCTTAGCTGATGAGCACAGCTCAAAATACACCATATTCGAGTGCATCTGCTGGAGTATTTTCAGCTTTAGCATCTTTGCAATGAATGGAGTAAGGGGAATGATTTGAGGCAGCAGTGGAATAGCATGATTGCTGCAGGCTCTGAGAGAGTACTGGGTCCTGTAACACTGTGTGGTGAGTGCCCGAGAAGTTACATGGGGCTCCTCAGACCATTGTGTTACACATTAAAACATGGACCGATCAAGCTTTGAAAACCAGCATTGGATGGGGTTTCTGTATGTCTTTATGTATCCTGGGAAATACCTAAACAAAGCCTCCTTAAAAATGGTGGCTTGCTCAGTTCTGTGCGGAAAATCACAGTCCACACTAAACAGTTTATCACTCTTAGTTTTAAGTATCCCAGATGAAAAGACACATTTTTGTTTTAAACTGCTTTTAATACTGTTTTATAAAAAAAAAATAATCATTACCTCCTTATACAAGTATAAGCCTCACAGCTTTCCTGCCTCCTCTGGAATTACTAGGTCATTGCAGACATCAAAATTAATGAAGAGATGAAAGATTCAGCAGAAAGGCAAAATCTTAATGGAAAAAAAAATGTTTCTTGATATCAAAGGCAATTTAAGAATAATGAACATATCTATCAGAATAATAAAAAAACTTCCTGATGCTTAAAAGAATGCTCATGAAGGAGGACATAAGACTTCGGGGTTTGTTTTTTATTTCTTTAAAACACCAATTCATTTTTTAAGTGAATGTATCTATGTGCTTCTGGGGCTTTACATGAATGGGATTTGCACTGCCTAAATTTTTGCTGTACTTTAAACTCAGCTAATCAGCAAAACAGTGCAGAAGGGGGGCTCTCTTTGCTTCATCCTTCTAGACAGACGGGTTAAGCTGAAACACAGGTCTCCATGAGCACCCTGTTACTTAACACTGAAGAAATGACAGAATGTTTCTGGCTAACTTGAGATTGAATTTGAACAGGGATGAGAGATATGGAAAGGTGGCTAGGGGTTAAAATTAAATGGATACATATTCAAAATAAATGCAATGTGCAATTCAGCAGAACCTTCTTGTAGGAAACTGACTCAGTTTAGTTCCTTTGTGATATAGACTGTCATTCCTCCCTGTCAGTGGCTTTGCAGGTGTTGCAAACAACCTGTAGCTCTATATTCCACACTAGACCTGATAAAGCAGTATTATTATAAGATTCTTGGTATTGGAAGAAAATGTTTGTCAGAAGCCCTCATTTAAATACTCGTGAAAAAAAATACTTCTTTAGTCCTACCTGTACAGCAAGATGACTTCTTGGCAATTCAAAAAGCCTAACAGAGAGTAAGTGTAACTAATGCATGGGATACTGTAGCACTCCCATACTGCTGCTAATAGAAGAAAAATCAGTATTAGTTCCAATATGAATGGAGTGTTGGATTGACTGAACAGGGAGCTTTGAAATAAATATCTAAGAAATGTTTGGATGAAATGGACATCTTTACAGACATTTGGTCTGCATTTCAGAAATGTAGATGATTAAATCCACATTGTTGGCTTCTTCCCCCTCTGCACTATGTCTTTCTTTACATCTTGCAAAAAATTTATGAACAAAGTTATTGTAAATCTGCAATGTCTGTCTTGTCACTTAGATTCTTTTCAGAAATGCTGCCTTGCCAATGTAGATATACAATCCTGGATGATTAATATTTATTACTTATAATTCTAAATACAATGGAAGGTCACCAAACATACCCTGCCTAAAGGAGTCTGGAGCCCTTTAAAATCTCACTAGTGATGGATCCTGAGTGAGCTAAAAGTCTTAGCAAAACACTTTTTTATGTAGGATTTCCAGTATTTCCTGCTTCTGACTATGGCTAAAGCCAAAAAGCACAAAGGTGAGCAAAAGATACAGATCTGAAAACATGAGCTTGGATTTCGAACCCAAACAAAGGTCCGGTAATGCCTGGATCTTGGATCAGCCTATAATAGAGTTATAAGTAAAATGCGAAGTTAGGATGCAGAGTGAGACTTGAATTCAGATAGAACAGGCACAGTAGCTGAAAACTGTTTCATTTTCCTCTTTCTTATATCTTTATTTTTCTTATATCCATCAGTACCTCTATCTAGGGTATCTTGGGGGTGTTAGAATAATGAAGATGTTTAAGGATTTATTTTATTCTTATTAATTAAAAGGAAGGTAGCTTGGGGATTTTCAGATTTTATAATGAAATTCTAGATGATTTTAAGAACATAAAAATCATTTTAAAAAGCTCATTGCACTAACAGCTCATTTTCTTTTTGATATAAGCTCAATCATTTTTAAACACAGTTTTTTACAAATAAATGCAACTGGAGGTCACTGAGATCAACTGATTATGATTTAGCCCTCTTCTAGCAAAACTAAAGAAAGACATTAGAATATATCAGAACTACAGGATCCAGTAAATTGGTGAAGATTCAGGTGCAAATGAGGTCAGACCCTGAAGCGGTTTGCTTACCCTGCCTGAGATCTGCTGCATATTCAGACAATCTTCTCTAAGGAGCTAAATATAATAAGCGCATAAGAACCTGCATCTGCCTCTGCGTCTTTATTCAAAGATTCATTGCGACTGTGATTAAGCAAAAGCACTAACTGAAGTACAAACCTGGAAAAAATCAACTGAGAAAAAGGTAGATTCTGTTGATGGGCATGCCCCTAGCCAAATCATAGTAAAAATTAAAAAATCCCAGTGACCATTAATCAGATAGAAGACTTTTCTCTAGAAATGAATTTGCAGAGCATTGCTGATGAGACCTTTCTAAACAGACAGAGCCATGTTGACCAGTATGATGAGTGAAAACCAGAAAGACAAACAGAAAGGACTGAGTCAATTAAAATAAATAAATAAATATTTGCCATGATTAAAAAAAATAATAAATTACAAATAATTCCAACCTCATGAAGAAATGTTTTTAACAAGCCACATATGCTTGTGCAGACACTTCTAATCTCATTAGATTTTTCTGGCTGCTATCAGTGTTCTCTGAGCCAGTTGATTTTTCAGCAGTGTTTTAAAGAGTGTGAGCCTTTGCTCTCCAGTCTAGCCACCGTTAAAACAGCCCATTCTAGGAGAAGACTTGGGAGTTCATGTATTTTCTTCTAAGATTTTGAAAGTTTGGAACAAATTGACTATTGCATGTGAAACAATAGTCAACCACAAACTATCTTCACAATCAACAACCAACATTCTGCTCCCAGCTGGTTAGTGTGAAAAGTGGAATAATCCCACCAAAGCAAGGGGATGGCTTCAGATTGTCATCAGCATCACATGGCAAAGGCTGACTTTCAATCCTGTCTTCAGTCCTCCAGCTTTTTGGAGCCAAACAAGAATCTCTCTGCTGTGAGATTCCCCTCGGTCAGAGCTCACCAGTTTGTGATTCCCTTCAAATCAGTGCAGCTCTAGCAAATCTCATCATAAGGGAAGCCACCTTGGGTTACATCTTAGCTTTATTTTATCCTTGAAAAAAACACTATATCTCCCCAAGCTGAAAATCAAGAGCCATGTGCACTGTTGTACATATCAGGGCAGCTGGGTTTCATGCAAAAGAGCTGTCATTCTGAATTTGCTAAAGTAAGGTGCAAATAATCACTCATATAAAGCAGATTGTGCCACACAGATGCTACAGATAGAACAAATAATCAGTTTTAGAACATAATCCTAATTCAGAATCATGCAACCTGGATGGGTCAACCCTGGATGAACGGGACTAAAGCATCATGAATGGATTTTGGCTACCATACTTGTTGAATTTCTGGATGGAAATGTGCCTCTCTCTGTTTTAACCTGCCCTCTGAGGCTCTCAGAGCAAACTTCTGGGGTGAGATGACGAGTGCTTGAAAGAGACCCATTTGGAGCCCAACATAAGGAAAATGCCTCCCCTACCTGGAATTCATGTGCAGCAGTAGCTTTCTCCTGCCTATCCAAGTTTCCCAAGATAGCAATCATAAAGGAACTGGCAACCACACAGTCAAGATGACAATACCCTGCATCGTTTGGTTAGCTTTGCCGATTCCCTCTATAGTCACTGGAAACAATAGGCTGTCCCCATTATCGCTGTGTCTACATGTCACTACTAACTTGCAGATCCAAGGGCTGCCCATCCGATTGCTTGTTCACTCTCTTTTGTTTAAACATTCAGATCCAACAATATCATGTAAATTCTATGCAAAGTAGCATCTGCAAATCTGACATACTCGCTCAGGTTTCCCCCTCTTGTGCCAAGTTAAAAATAAATGCCCTATAAACTCTTGGGCCTGCTAAAACAGAATATGCAGTCTGAGAGTTGTTTGTTTTAAATATAACTGCTAAAAGTATTTCCCCTTTACTGTCATACTCCTTTCCCCCCACCCCCTCTCAGATTTTGCTCCTGCCTCAAGGATGTCAATAGCACTAGGGGAAAAATCATCCTTGAAATAGCCTACAGAAGAACCCATTCTATGTGTTCCTAACTCCTGAAAATTCAGCTAACATCCTATTTTTAAAACTCCAAAGAATACAGGTGATGATATACCCCAAAATGAAAAAAAGCAGCTAGTAAAGTGGATCAATTTCAAATACTGATTGGAAATAATACTAGTTGAGCAAGATCTCAGGTTCAGATTTCAAAGGGTCTCCATGATCCCACACTAGAGCTGCCTTCTCTTTTCTCAAGGGAGAAGCAGATTTGTCCCTTACCAATACACTTGAACAGATGAAGTCATAGGGATGCCAACCGGATAGCATAACAACAAAGTATATCTTAAGGCAACAGGGAGAAGAGTCTGTAAAAGGGGATAATGAGCCACCACTGAGGTCACTTAGGACTTGCTGAGCCGCTTGGCCACGTCTGCGTAGGCTTGCTCAATTTCCTTGTCAGCTGCACAGGTGTTGGTGAATTCGTCCCTGGCATACGCATTCTTCAGGTACCGCCACAGCCCTGTCATCTCCGTTGGGAACTCAAAGTTGCGGTATTTCTTTGCAACAATCTAAACAAAGATTAAAGAGAGAAAAAAGTGAATTATTAGTGGTATATCTCCAGATTATCTTTTAGAGAGCTTCTTACTCTTTCTTATTACATAATTTATCAAAGAATCATAGACTAGTTAGGGTTGGAAAGGACCTGAAGATCATCTAGTTCCTACCCCCCCTGCCATGGGCACTAAACCATGTCACCCAAGGCTCGGTCAATCCGGCCTTGAGCACCTGCAGGAATGGAGCATTCACAACTTCCCTGGGCAACCCATTCCAGTGCCTCACCACCCTTACAGTTAAAGAACTTCTTCCTTATATCTAATCTAAACTTCCCCTGCTTAAAGTCTGAAGCCGTTACCCCTTGTCCTACCACTACAGTCCCTAATGAAGAGTCCCTCTCCAGAAACAGGAAAAGACAGAAATGTTTGGAGGCTCAGGGACCTGAGAAACAAAAAAGCCTGAAAAGTGACCATTTGTTGTCCCATATCTTGCAAGGATTCTACTTGGCTTAAAGACACTCTAAACCAATGGCTTAGTTACTGTTACCATATTATAACTTCTATGGTATCTGAAGTTCATTAATTTTACCATATTGGATTTGGGGGTTTTTCACCAGTTTTTTACCAGTTTTTTTACCAGTACATTACTTGAAGCTGAGGTGCCACATAAGAAAAAGCTGATAAGCTGAATCATAAAATGAAAGATAAGTTTAAGAGAAAGGTATTAGCAACAGTTTTATATAACATATCTTCATATTAATTTTTACATTTATATTTACCATTATATTCTATATATACTGTATCTGTATTTTTAATATATGCAATATATTTTGCCTGGCCAGTGATGTCAGAGTATGTAACCACCTACAGCTGTTGGAAGGCTGTATCTGTGTTCATGCAAAGGAAAAATTCAGGGTGGTATGGGTACCATGATTGAGAAACCAAGATGATTTAGCAGACATTAGAAACAGAAGTATTAGAATAAACTGGGAGAGAAAATGGTTATTTCAAGACTTGTCAGAATAGAAAATTGTCTATCAAGGGAAATTTTTTATTTCTAAAAACAGTCAGGCCCTTATTCAGGAAAATAGTTAAGTGCATACTTAATTTTAAGCACCTGTATAGTCCCATTGAAGTCAATGGGGCTAATCTGTGCTTAAAGCTCGTTGGTTGGTTAAGTAGCTTCCTGGATTGGGACATTTCGGTTTTCCTGTAAGAATATACCATATAGAATAATCCTGCGGTGACAGAATGAACTGCTGATAGGAAGGGATGGATTAGCTAATTTAATGAGTGCTTCCAATCTCTAGTTTTTCTGACAGTATAAAATTGTTCCTGGGCATAAATTGCATACATATGTGCCACAGAGTTCCCCTGTATTTTTAAAGCACATGGTAGAGCTCTTTTCCATCTCAGCTTTCTCAGGACAGTCATGTTCTTAGAAATGACTGTGATTTGTTTTTATTACCAGGATTCACTTGGTATATGCAAGTCCAAATCCTGTCCTAAACTGCATTTAATTAAGCATTCTTGCCTTCAGTGATGCTTCACACACGCATGGGGAAGCTAAAACCCACTGGGCAACTTAAGTCAAGATTTTCATAATTTCCAGCACACATCTTCCATCAAATTAAAAACTAATTTACCCTTTTCTTCCATCTGTAAAATGTTTTTCAGGCAATATCTTATGGCTGTGCTTGTCTGAGAAAGATTTTAATTCTTTTTTAACATCTTTCATTTCATCCAAGGGGACAAGAACCAGTAAAGTGCCACATATTCATTTTGCACTGTCTGACTCCAATGTCACCAATGAAGACAAGCCAAATAAAGAGCTAAATCTGTGAGGATATTATCACATTTCATACCTGGTGACTTATGCACTTCTGTTTTGTTTTGTTTTTACCTTCTTTGCATGTGTGCAGTCAGCTCCCAGGCTCAGTTTATGTTTTGGCTCATGGAGCCAAGTTAGATGCATGGCTTATTTCCTAACTTATTTGCTTGCCAAGGCCTGCCAGGTACTTGCTTTATTCTAAAGAAGCATGTCATCTTATAAATTAAGTAAATGCAACATTTACAAGTCAAGATGATGTACACCGTTTGCACTATACCAGTGACCATTGTACATCTTAAATCCTGGACCTCAGCAGTGACTTTGATTTGTTAACTTCTCTGTGTGAAATATCAGCTGGAACAAATATTGCCCCAAAAGATGGACTGCTGCTCTTAAGTTATAAATGGGTGGGAACCGACTAAAGTTTTGATTTCTCTCTTAAGAATAATGGAAACTAATGAGCATGAAAGACTGCTGTTACTTGCAGGAGGGTAAAAATAAAGATGAGAAAATAAAGAGATAAGACCTAGATCTTAATATTGTCTTTGCCACTGATTAGTGATGAGACAGTTTCCTCGTGTATTTAATACGTTACTTAAATTACCTTTAGGAAATAGTGAAGAGCAAAGGTACTGAAGGTATCTATGCTAAAATACTTTAGCAGGCAGCTGTCAGAGCAGAACACTGTCAGATAAGGCTTCTTTGACCATTGTATGACATCTTTTACCTTGACAACATGGAGCTTGGGCAGAAGATTGCAGTCAGCAAGGGTCAGGTCATCTCCATCCAGAAACTTGCGTTTAGAAACTTTCTCCTCTTCAGTGCTGTCTGCATCAATCTCCTCCTGCAGAGGGGTTCTCAGATAGTCATCCAGTTTCTTCAGAGCCTTCACCAAACCTTTTTCAAGGGCTTTGTCAAAAAGAAAAGAATAAGTGATTAGGGCAAAGTAAGAATTATTTAGAAACACCCATTTTCAATGGCTATGGTAGGATCTGGAAAAAAAAACTAAGAACCATTTCTTTGTTGTTAATTTGCACTCCAAAGTAGCCCAGCAAGGTCTGCCTGAAGGTAAAGTTCATCCTAAAATGGAAAAAGTGGACACAGGAAACTACTGTGCCACATCTTCTCCTGACTAGCACAAAGAGGTCATGAAAGGAAAGAACAGCTTGTCAGCACGATACACCAATAAAACACATATACCCTACAGCATTCCTCTGGTCTGTTGAGGCCATCACACAGTAAACTGCTGGCCTGTACACTGTTACTTTATCTTTCTAAACAGCTAGGTAGGACTGTAATGAAACAGAATTTTCCAGCATTACTTCAGCTCTAAGTTGTTGTAGTTTTGTAAGTTTTAAACTTCTTCCTAAGTAATTAAAGGCAATAGCAATAATTCTGAAGATGCTAACCTGAGCTCTAAGGAGCTGGAAGATACACTGCAACTGAAACAAAGGTAAGATTTGTATAATATTGTTGATATTTAACAATAATGAAATACATCTCTACAGAGGTGAGATATTCAACTACTGTTAAGATTTTCCCCACTTCATGTGCAACTTAGGTGCAAATTCTCGTTCTGACATGTCTCCAACAGGGTGTCACAATGGAGAGGAGATTTTAGACCTTTTACTGAAGGCCATGTCCCACACTGCTGCTGGCTCCAACAAATTCCGGTCTTTAAATGCCACTTAGACATACTATAAAGAACATTATAAAGTTTTTACTTAAAAGTATCAGCCCAGGCACATAATTTGTGTTCTTATACTTTACTGCCTGGATAATAGAAAAAGCTGATTGCAGTAATACACTTACAGAAAGCTGAATGACTGTGCCCAGGTTTGTATGGTATTTAAATGTCAAACACTCTGGGGTAAGAAGGGACTTCTGCATTTCTATTTGAAGGGTGACAAGCACAGGGGAGTCCTCGCCCCTGACAAGTGCCCCAAAGTGAGAAAGCAATATAAATAAGAAACAGCAAGAATTTACAATGTGAAAAAATAACAACATGACTCATGGGCTTAGGGCCAGAATTTCAGCTGGTGAAAATTACCTGCAGTGATTTATACCTGCTGCAGATCTGGCCCGGAGTCAGCATTTAAGGCCTAATCCTGTAAAATGTTATATCCCTGAGTAACGTACTGCCATTTCACTTGGGGAAGACTACTCAATGCTTCAGGTTACTCAGGTGGTGTAGCACTACAAGGCTTATGGAGGTAAATATATTTATGGAGCACAACACAAGCCTCAAAAGGCTGCAGGTATCACCCAGCATAGAGCAGCTTGCTGTCAGGTAGCTCTGCTGTCAGCCACCCCTGTGCTTTTGGCATGGAGAGAAATGAGGCACGCACAGGGCCATTGAGAGGGCAGGAGCTGGACATCACAGAGCATGATTTCTTTGCTGCCCTAACATCCATTAAACCTTGTGCCAGCAGGGGAAGTCAGATTAAGCTGCCTGATGTTTTGCTCCCACTGAAGCCTCTTGGCCAAGCACCAGAAGCCATACCAGCTCTTTTGTGGCTGACTCCTAGACACAGTGGCAAGTCCTGGCTTAATTGATTGACTGGAGAAATGACTGCAATCCAACTGAAAACACCCCAACAAACATAGCAGGGAGGGAAAGAATTTTATTTCTGAAAGCAGAGCATCTAAAGCGACTGAAGTGCTGCCATCCATAAAACAAAAGTGTTGCCATCCCTTATTTAATCAATCCAAATTGAATTTTGACACTGACATTCTGCTGTCAGATGCTGGCAGTGGTGTCTTTAATTGTCTGCAGCTGTGCTCTGCTGCACCACTTCTACTGAAGGGTAATAATTTCATAGTGTGTAATATACCCCCACATGGCAATGCTCAAAAGATTCAGCAGTCTATGGTTTGACCCATGACACCTGTTGAACAGATAGTTCTCCTTCCCTTGGTCAGCTTTGGACTATGCCCTCTTAGAGTGCATTCATTTAGAGACAGTGGTATCAAATTACTGTTATTTAATTCAATTTTGCTCATCCAGACTTTAGAGAACTGGCTTAGCACTGAGCATTTTCCAGTATCGCCTTCACCCAGTAGGACTGTTGGTCGTCTGAGTCCTCTCTGCAATATTTCCAGTATCAGTGCTATGTTAGATGTTTGGTGCTAGCCCATGGGGCCAGTTAGGTGTGTGTACAAAGACAGGAGCAGCAGGTGAGATGTGCTTATGTAACTTTTCTGGAACTTATTATAGTTGGGTTTTTTTTTTTTGCTCTTACTGATATATCAAAGTGCGTCATGGCTGTCGCAAAAACAATGCCTGGAGTAAAGCCTATTTGTGACAGTGGGAAAAACATCTATCTGAATTCATACTTGGCACTTGCATACAGCAACTTTCAGCCAGAAATAAGTATATGTTCAGGGTTTAACACATCTGTGACCTAATTCACAGGCACTGCTGGAACCTACAAGATCCCTTTGACATCTTACAGGCAGGGCCATCTCATATCCTGATAGTCAAGAACTTGTAAAACAAATGACCCCATGTAATTAATCAAAACTCTTCTGATTCTAGTAGATCTCTCATAACAGCCATGAAAATCGAAGAGTAGTGAAGAAGGGAGAACTGCCTTTCTTCCAACTGAATAGTGACCGAATTTTTAAAAGCTAAGAGAATTAAGATCCTAAACCTGCCATTTCAGATGGAGTTCAGGTACAGGATCAGAGTTTTAAAGTCTGTCAATGTTTTCCAAGCCATTTTTTGAAATCCATATGCAAATATCCATGTTGCAAACCCTACTTTCTAGGTGCCCTGACTGATTCAGATTTATCTATATGATTTAAGTCATGTTCCTTGAGAAGGTGCTCAGAGAAATGCCCACTGAATGTAGGAGGATGAATAAAAGAGTCTCAAAAATATTGAAGCAAGAGGTTTCTAACTGTCACATCTCAGAGAGAATTAAAAATATAATGCTGGCATGACTGGGGAACTCACCCTATGTTTGAATTCACCAGTGACCCCCCAGAACAGAGAGGACAGTTTTTAGTTTCTTAGAAAAAAAAAACACTTGGAGAAGTGCTCTTTGTGACCACAAAGAGTTGAGGTTAAAAGCTTGATAAAGTGGAGACCAGTGATGAGTGGCATTCTTCAGGGATCAATATTGGTTTTGTCAGTGACAGAAACAGTGGGACTGAGTGCACCCTCATCAAGTCTGCCGAGACACCAAGCTGTGTGGTGCAGTCAACATGCTGGAGGGAAGGGATGCCATCCAGAGTGATCTCAACAGGCTTGAAAGGTGCACAAGTGCGTACTTCATGAAGTTCAACAAGGCCATGAGCAAGACCCTGCAATTCCAGAAACGTTTAAACAGCCAATTCCCTTGGCAATTTATCCTCTTGGAAACATCATTAAGTAACTACTTAAGCTGATAACAGCTGAGACTCCACTGCAAATCAATGGGTGGGATTAATCTTCTGTGAAGTGAGTAAATTAAATGAGCTTCCTGTAGTCAATGGAGTCTCTTCTACATTTGGTTTAGGTGCCCCCTAAGTCAGCTGTTTGGAGAACTTCTCCTGAAGTGTCTAATCTCAGACTCGCATTGTCTTGGTAATGTCAGGGTTCGGTAATGGAGGATTCGGTATTACAACATTGAGTAGAACTATGCCTGAGAATGTGGCTCTACTGCTTTTGGAATGTCTACCTCCAATTACTTCCCCACTCTGCAGACTTTCAGTGTTAATATAAAGATCCCAAATGTGACCCATTCTGCAAGAGGAGGCCTGTCGTTAGCTTACCTATTGAACTGCTGCAATATCTGAACTCTTAGAAACCATCTTTCTGGACAGTGAATTCACCAAGCACAAAGGCACAAGCATTGTATTGCCTCCACGGTGATGTATTTAACGTAACTTCAAATTTTAAGAAGTTCTAGCTGTGTATGTACAAAATCCACAGTGGAACCATCTCTCTCACCCTCCACTCTGGGCTATTTATGCAGTCCAAGACAACTTACGGCAATCACAGTCCTGCTGTGTCACCCTACCAGTAGTAAACAACAGTATTAACAAAAAAACCCCTCACGAACTCTTTGTGATTTTCCTTCTCCCTTCAAAACTATGCTTTATACAACTTTAGTTAAGAAGCCTGAGTTAGAAGCCAGAAAAATAGCACTTTCCAACCTCAAAGCAACCACAGAACACTTAATGAATGTATTACCATCTGTCAAATGCACAGGGTGAGGTTCAATTTAGCTGATGATACCTAATTCACAATGACGCTCTGTTTTCAGCAAAAGGTTACTTGATGTTGAACAATGACATTAACAAATCTTGACATGCATAGAAATATAAATAATGTAGCAGAAGTTAATAATTGGCAAAATTGTGCTCTCAGTTACACTGACATAAAAGAGGAGTAACTTCGCATTGTCAACAAGCTATTCCATATTTACTCCAGTTCAACCAAGAACAGACTTTGGCTCTGTTACTCAACTCTTCAAGCAAAAACTTCCTTAAACTATTAGCCTGTGCAACTATTTCCAGGGGACAAAGAGAAGCTGTTGTGTCTTGAAGTAGTTATACCACAATGGAACAAAACACTGGAAAACATAAATGCATGGAGCAATACTTCGGGGGGGGGGGGGAAGAAAGAGGTACAAATGTCAAAGATTCATTACTAGGTACTCAGGATGAAATTTTGGCCATACCAAAGCCCATGTAAGTTTTGCTGTTGACTTCCATGGAGTTAGGATTTCTCCTGAAGCTTTTAAAGCCAAAAAGGACTGTTATTATCAGTTAATCTGACCTCCAAAATAATACTGGCCATAACACTCCCATCATCACTGGCCATTTCCATCTCTACTTTCTGTGGGTCAAATAAGGCTGAATTAAAATGGAAAGTAACTAGAAAGTAGTAAAAGAAAAACCGTTTGGGAAAAGTAAAACTG